CACACACACACGTTTCATTCAGCTGACTGTGATCACTCTCACAATGATTTCATAAATGCGTGAAAACCCTTTCAAGTTAACTGACCGTACAATCCTGAGCCAAGTCGCACTCCAAGGCATCGATGGTGGCTTGTTTGGACTCCAGTATTTCCTACAAGCAGGAAAACACTTTCAGAGAGTTGTTCTTGAAGCTCACACACAAATATTTAAAGAACATCTTAATTCAAAAGGAGAATGACTGCAAGCCTTAAGTGTAAAACCATGCTAGTGTCCGCTGCAGTTTGCCCTGTTGATGAGGAATCATAGGAAGGTGTTGGCCAGAAGAACAACAGTCCTTTGTAATTCTTTCTATAGCGTTAAGTAGCGGGAGGCAGTTCAGTTATCAAAAGCTTAACGTATGTTAAAGCCAGGTGTGAACAGGGTCCTAGTCAGTTCCAGAACAGATGTGATATACTTAGTACAGCACAAGTAGACTATGTGTATTCTGTAATGATACACAGGTAGATTGCACAATGTTTTGAGGAAGAACATGCTTTAAACATGCTAGATTCATTTTTATCTTAAGAGTCTGCACCAGTTGTTCCATGTGAGGTTTCAACTAAATTCCGAGATATTTATAAGATTGAACAACGTCAAAGTCAGGGATGTTGCTGTATGTAAACGCACAACAATGTTCTTGAGGATTAAACACATTCAGTAGACTGTAATCTAGACATGGGTTGAGTTGCATACAGGAGTGTTTGTCCTCTGTATAAAAACATGATATTGGTCGGAGTTGGAGTGATGATATTGTTCATGTAGATGGTAAATAATAACGGACCGAGAATAGAACCCTGTGGTGCCCCCTTGGCTATTAAAAGGCTGGTAGTTTTGAGCCTTTCTTCTGTTCGACAAATGTGCTCTTACCTGCACAAGTGTTTGAATGCACATTTTGTAAAGTTGTGCAAAGATTAATTTGCTGCAAATGAAAGGAGGATAAAGAAAAAGAAAAAACATACCTGGAGTTTGCTGCCTGCAGTTTGGTCGATGTTAGAGGCCGAGAGTACGGCGTAGAGCTGGGCCTCCTTCTTCTCCAAAGTGTCGGTCAGCGCTGACACTTTCCTGCCCAGCAACAAGTGCTTCATTCCGCTCTTCTGCTGCATGTCACAGATGGCCTCCGTCTGTTTCTTCGACATCTCATTGCGCTCCTGCTGAACCTGGCGAAAGCAACAATATGAATACCCGTCGAGCCGAATGAAGGTAAACCGTGCAATGTGAGAGTTTACCTTCTCAATGGCCTGCTCCTGCAGCAAACAGCCCATCGACATGTCCCTCGCCTCCTTAGCACGGAGCTTCACTCGAGCTTCAGTCGCCAACTGTCAGACACATTAGCAGCAATTTCAAGGAAAATGTGTATGATTTTCGGGGTATTATGTTCTTAGTTTAGTCAGTTATAACATTCTACTCATCTGTTCTCACTTTCCTTTCTGCTGAATAAATAATTCATTTAACTATAAAATAGTCAGAGACAACAACAGTAAGTGGCAGGTGACCCAGGTATTGTAGATGTAAGGAAAATGCATAAAGGAAAGTTTAGATTCAAAGAATGGAACTTAATATCAATATTTAGGGTCATTATTAGTATTGAATAGTTATTTCTCGGTACACCGGCCGTCGTCGGGTGCCTTACAAAAGTTTAAATGTGAGGTTGATTATCGAACCTCAACACATTTAGTTTCATAGCAGCACCAATGAAGCACATAAAAGAGACATAAAAGCTGTTTATGTAGGATTAAAACATTCGGACTATGGTGACCCCTAGTGGTGAGGTGAAAAAAGGCCACGCCCCCTGTCCAACAGTGTCCACCATGCTGTGTGACCTTACATTTAAGTTGTTAGTTGAAACTAATGTGAAAGATTGACAAATGTATTAAAATAAACTTAAAATAATGTAGTTTTTTGCCTTTAAGCTCAGGTAGTAATGAACACTAATGGACAAAAAACCCTGAAAATCTCAGAAAATAAACAAATATCCCAGACGATTTCATCAACTTAAAATACCAACGTGAGCTTTTCATTCAGTACATTTGTACCCAAGTTAGGATAGTGATGTTCAATGTGTATTGATGCTTTTTGAACGGGTGTGAAGTGAACGCACCCTATGCTTGACCTTGGCCTGCGACATGTCTTGCCGCTGTTTTTGTAACTCCAGATGCTTCTCTTGGGCTTCCTGCAGAGACTCTCTCAGACGTTTGTTCTCCTGCTGAGCTGCTGAAATATTTCTGTCCAGAAGAGGTGAAGAAGCCTCCTGCTTCTTCGCCTCTGCATGTTCACCCTACCAAGCAACAAACGAGGCACATAACACAAGAGTCACCTGAAGAGAGCTGTGCTGTACTCAAGTATCTTCACTACATGTAGAAGTAGTTTATGAGTCTCGATTAGTACAACTAAAAAAATCTTAAATAAATGCGATCAAATTCGATTTGATTTTTTCAAGTGACACAAAAATACCAACCAAATAAAATAAAGAATATTTGTGAATTTGATTGTAGAGCCAGGGAATTTTTCTTTGAGGGCATAATAACTATTTATTAACTGTGATTGTTGACGGTGGAGAAAAATGTATGTCTTAAAGCCCTGATTGGCTGGTAAAAAATATGTTTTTGTAACATAACCTCACCTATCTCTCAGAAAATGTCTCATGAATTATCAAGTAAACAAAAATAATTTAATTTAGTCTGGATGATGCTAAAACATCTTCATGAAACAATACGAAATAATTATATCAGTGAATTTGAATTTTTTTTAGCTCAGGAAACCTTCACTGTAAGGCCAAAAAATGTGAAAAAGTTATTTGAAATATATATATATATATATACACACATATATATAAAAGATATGAATCACATTTGTTCATTTTATTATCTATATGTAGTTTTGAAAATGTGTCTTCTGTGAACATTTAACATTGTCTGTAAGCCATCTAGAGTACAAACACTGTTGCCTCTAAATGAAGTGAAACTACATCAACCATGTCACATTTAGGTCCTGTTGAAAAACTTCCTGTAAGTTTTCATTTGTTTTATTTCAATCTGTTCGTCCTCTGTGTTTCTGCTCATCTGTTCCGTTTTCTTTCTGTGGTGAGTCTGTAACGTCTCGTACCTTCATAGATTTCTGACTCATCAGCACACTTTGACGATGCGCCAATGATTTGAGAGCTTCGTCGTGGTCCTTTGTCAGAGTCACTACGCGACTTTTCATTATTTTGGGTCCGCTAATGTTAGACAGTTGGCAAACTATTTTAAGAGATCTAACTCACTTAAATTAATCTTTGCCGATATCCAACCAGCTCTGCGTCATCACAGTGTGTGCAGACGTTCGCTCCGTACCGCAGCGCCCGGAGCTCCCCACCCATCAGCCGGCAAGTGGGCGGGGAGCTCCGAGCGCTGCAGCACGGGGCGAAGAGTTTGGCCGGGCACTGCTGGACTGCACACACTACGTGTGCCTCAGGACAGTTGATTTCACAGTTGTATGTCTTTTGTCTTTTTCATGAATATCTGCAGCTTTCAGCACTTTTCACTTTTTATGCTCTTAAAAGATGTTTCAGGCCTGGAAGAGGCCAAAAGTGGATTTTGTGAAAGTAAACATAGTTTCAAAGATTTTCTTCAAAAAACTGGCTCAGGACAGTTGATTTCACAGTTTCATGATGTTTTCATTAGAAGCTGATGCTTACACACCTTTACTGGTTCAAGGTACAATCTCAGCCTTTTATGCTCTTAAAAGACGTTTCAGGCCTGGAAGAGGCCAAAAGTGGATTTTGTGAAAATGAAGAGTTTCAAAGATTTTCTTCAAAACAAGACAGTTGATTTCACAGTTTCATGGTGTTTTCATTATAATCTGATGCTTACACACTTTTACTGGTTTAAGGTACATTCTCAGCGTTTTATGCTCTAGCACAGTATTCAAGTGTCAAGCCCACGTTACCCCCACTCATTTCCATGGTTCACAGGCTCAGAGAGGATTCAGGCTCTCAAAATTATGCCAAACTGCTGTATTTGGATAGATTGAACACTATTAGTGATAAAACAAGTGAAATATATAGTTATATAGTATATACAATTACAATGGAACAGCTGGTTCCAAAATGACAATTTAGCTTGACCTCACCTTACCTCTGTACTAAAACCTTTGTTCGCTTCACTTAATCAAAGTCAAAATTTGCAGAGACTGTTCACATGTTGTGCTATGATTTGGGAGATGTTTTAGGCTTACCACTGCCTCATTTCAAAGAAAGAATACCAATAAAAGGGCTTTTTTTTTCAGGCGAACCTGCAACTTTTCAATTTGAGCTGTGTGCCATCTTCATATTAAAGTAGACCTTGTAGTTAGAGAAATACACTCTTTAGTATGGGTATGCAATTTTCGAGCAGAGGCCTAAAAATAGGGATAGGGTTTTACAGGTTAAGAGTATTTTAGACATATGGTCCCTGTGTGCACATGTCCCCTCGTGGCATTCAATTAACAATAACCCTATGGGAATATGATTTCACCCTAACCCACATCTCTTCAATGTGAAGGACAACTTTTCCACTCTGGTAACAACTGAGAATAAAAACAAACTATCATAAACATATGTGAGCACTGGAATAGATTGTGATGTCATCAGGGTTATTGTTGTTTGGGCTTGAAGACTAGAAACGTATAACAGATAGAGAGATGCATTTTATTATTTCCACAAAATGTGTATTATGCCACAAAGAGGGTGACTGAAGTTAAAAAAAAGTGGTTAATTACAGGGCTGGGAAGGTTTATTAGCATTATGGGAAATGTAGGATACAGTGTTTATGGAGGACAACTCTACTAGGAACTAAAACTCCTAATATTTCATCCCTTACTGCCTCTTTTGAGTCCCCCACTTGTTGAAAGTACTAAATCAATGGAATACTCCTTTAAGTTTGAATCAGAATAGCTCTAAAATATTAGAACCAACATTAAATAGACATTATACAGTAGATTGGCTGCTGTAATGCATCCATTCATTTTGGAATGGCATTAAGACCAGTTTTAATAGCATAAACACAATACAAGGTTAGTTTTATAACCACATAACACAATCATATTTCAACAGTCAAATATGTTTGAAGCAAGAAAAGCTAAATAGTTCAAAGTTAAATAGTAAATCTGCCTTCACTCAAATTAACACAAAATGTGCATAGACTCTTAGATTTGTGAATATATCCTACTACATACTCTTGCTGACCAAGATCTTAGCCTTCCCCCTGCTTTCCAAGCTGAAAGTCAGGCTGTCTGTTTTATTTTTATTTCTCTACACTTATATTTCGCTATACTTATTTTATTGATATTTAGTATTTGAAGAATACATTGACATTGTGACACTGATCCATATCATATACACAACATACTGTACTGTAGGTGCAGTGCTTATACTAATTCTGTGTTCATGTCTTGCCAGAAGTAAAAGGACAGGATGACTACCTTTGATAACTTGTTGGGACACTCACATTTATTGTTTCCATAATTGTTATTATATTCTTGCCTCTGACTACTACCACCAGCAGATTTGTTGTCATGTTATAATGGTCCAAATGTTAATGACCTCCATGAGTCTGACAGGAATAGTTTTTCTCAGGTGACATCCATATTTACACTCTGACATGACTGACATGACATAACACCACAGGGAGCAGTGTGCTGAGTTCACGGCTGTGTTGTCAGAGCTTCTATCGGCTCCACCTGGGGTTCAGTAGGTGGGGTGGAGATGTCCTCCATCTGCTCTGAATCTGGTTCAGTCACAACTACAGCCACCTGTTGACACACAGATAGCAGTAAAATGTAATCTTGCAGATTATATAAAAATGTTGAATGGTAATTTAAGGGTGTGGTCATTGGTGCGGTATTGTGTTTGCTGTGTGAAAACACTGCTGGTCAAATCCTACTGTGGATACCTCAGATTCCATGCAAACTCTGCTGTGCTTCAACATAAAATGGCCCAACCACTCTTAAAGGTACTATAATGTCCAGTGTGATAGAGAATTTTCCCTGTGCTAGTACATTTCTACTGTGACTTAGTTTATGTGCCTTACTCACGAACAAAACTATATATGTGACATATGATTGTGGAGAGTGGTAACATGACCATATGAGTTATCTCAGGCCTTTGCTTTGATAAGAGGGAGTAACTCAAATGGGGGTGCAGTTTAACCAGAGAATGTTGCCAGGGGTAATCAAGGGTAATAAAGACAGATGTCTTTGTGTGACAAGGTTCAGAAGAGGAAGGGGATGACTGGAGGAGCTTGAAACTGCTGATCAATTGTGATAATGTAAATACCTGATGTTCCCCCCACCCTGTGTGCTGAGATGCTTAAAAGCAAGAGAGACACTGGATTCTTTGCTGATTGCGCTGCAGTCTGTATGACGATGAAAGCCTTCTTTGGCCAGAGAATAAATACTTTAAAGACAAACTTCTTTCCTCAATGTTTCTTCTTTCAGTATTCAGTATTATAGGACTCACTCGGTACTATTGAATAGTTTTTTTTCCACCACACCAGCCACAAGCCCTAAAAAGATGCCGGGCAGCATTTCACCTCTACTACATCATATATAAAAAAAGACAATCAAAACATATAACTAACAGCAGGACAAGAAAACGCAAAATAGCAGATACCCCTGATTCCATGCTCACTTTTTCAGATACCCGAAAAAGTGTATTTTTCGGGTATCTGGTATCAGAATAGAAAATAGAGCAGGTTACTCCACCTCTATTTTTGAGAGGCAAATAAAAAATATAAAACAGTAATTTGTTGAAATAAATTGTTCTCAATTATCAACTCTCAAAAACCTTTTTAGAATTATAGATTCAATAATGTTGGTAAAATGTATGTAGGAGCCAGGTGTGGCCTGTGTCATTTTGTATGCTCTTTTTCGTCACTTCCGGTGATTGAGTCACGTGGTGCTGGGGATAGCCACAATGGGGGTTTATCAGCTGTCAGTAGAGTTAGATGAGGGGAAGGATTGGAAGGAGAGGGGGTGAGAGAGGGAGCCTTATTTTTTGTTGACCGCTATTTCACGCTATTTTTCCACGTTATTCACATTGTTAGACAAATTATTGAGTTATGATTGTATGCCATCTATAATCAACGTTTATTTGTTGCCCACAAATAAACAATCGAAACTCATCCAGTGGATTCCGGAAGTCATTTACGTTACAGCCAGCGCGTCCGCAAGTTTAATCTCCCCCGCTTAGCCTCTCGGTGACTACTGGAAAGTTGCTCGTAGTCACCTACAATGTAGTACAGACAATTAACCAAATAGTGTAAAATAACATGACACTGTCGGTTGTATATTTTCTCCTGTCCTCCCCAATTAGTCCAGTCACCAGCCGCCACTGGTGCCTACCAATGCACAAACTGTGAAATAAGACAACCCAGTCAGTTTTTTGTGTGCTGCCTAGATCAGAAAACATGTGATTTAATTCAGATTTTGCACCCCTTCTTATGTCAAACGCAGGCTTGTTAAAATATACAATCTATGGCTTTAGAACTACTTTCGAAAAGGTGCACCATACTTTTCTAGCAAGCCATTGACAGCAGCCTTGGCTATGGAACTATGTGCAGTATGGCGTGGAGGACACTTCATAAACATATGACAGAGTAGGTGTCATTTAATATTAAATATTTTAATTTAATTAAATGTCACGATCAGGCTTTGCCTTCTGTGTCTTTGTGTATTTCTTTCTGTAGCTCCTCACTCTACCTGTCAGCCACTCCCTCAGCACCAGCCTAACTCCCTTGACCTGCCCCTGATCACTAATCAAACACTCCCTCATCAGCACAACTCTCCTCACTTGTTCTAGCCACTATTTAAACCCCTGCCTCCCAGTCATCATTATTTGTGTTACCCGCCTGTTCCCGGTTTTCCCACGTCTGCCTGCCCTGTCTCGTCCTGCTGGATTTGCCCCCTCGTCTCTTGTCTCGTCCCTGGATTCCCTGTGTGTTCTTGTAGTGTTCACGTTCTAAGTTAAGTGTTTATTAAATTCCATTTCACTCAACTTCTGGTCTGCGTTTGAGTCCACCACCATGCCCCGTGACATTAAACAAAATTGTATATAGACGCGCACACACACATACCAAAAATAGGATCTTAACAAAGTGTTTGTTACCTGAGATGACTCGGCTGCAGCTGGAGCAGCCTGCGTAGCTGGAACAGGTGGGGGGCGCGTCTGTGGATAGACAGGTCTCTGGGTGGCAGCCTGCAGGACACACGCAAACACATTTTACAGCTCTTCGAAGTACTGTAGTTTCGTATATGTCATATAATAATGTTTATAATGCATTATAAACATTTATAATGAACTGTATTATTATAGTTACAAGCACTAACAATTATTCATAATTCTTTATAAAAATAATCATGATACATTATAAAGCATTTTATAATAACTTCTATGGTCAAGTATTTATTTAACGATTAAAATATTTAATCGTGATTAATCACATGGATTTTTCGCATTGTTATGGTTAATAATGAATTCAAAAGTAGTGTATTGCGCACTTTTATTTTAAATGTACTGCTATATGAACAAAAGGGCAATAACATTTGGTTTGCAAACACTTTAAACAGATAAGGTTCTTTTTAACAGCAGTATTCCCTTTACACAGCAGCAGTTCTATCTGTGCTCAGTGTGCTGACTGTATGTGAAACGTTCCACTGCTGTGCAACAGGAATAAAATGTTTCAGCACGTTTCAGCGAAAATGTCTGTCTTCATGACAGTCAGAGCATGTGAATGCAGCTCTACTGTTCATTAATATAATGCTGTAACTCCAAGGTAATTATGGTTACCCAGCGATCAAAGAATAAAGACACTTTACCCACAATTTAGGTGTATTTTCCCTTTAACTCACGAGATGCAGCATGTTTTATACTTAATGTGAATATAATTCATACTTTGTTGGCATCTTATTCTGAAAACCGGATGTTCGTCTGAAGAAACCGGATGTTGTCTCACGTTAATCTTTCCGCTAACTTTCCCGACCTGTGCCATTTGAATGAGTTTACCGTGAATTTCAGCATATAGGTGCACTAACATGTATGTGTCTGCTGAGTTTACCGCAGCGATGTCCAGTTGTCTCCAGGGAGCAACAGCTGGTGCACGTTGTAACGCTGTGTATTCTAACCGGCTGCAGTTTGTATCCACTTCTCTGTGGATTTGTTAGCTTGTCTTGCTTTTGTTTATCTACACTTCCTCCATGGACTTTCAAAATAAAAAAATGCGTTAACGCGCTATAAAATAATTGTCAGCGTCAATTAATGCGTATGAATTCGAATGAATCTATCTATCTATATCTATATATCTATATCTATATAGGGGTATATATAGTGTTTTCACACAGCAAACACAATACCGCACCAATGACCACACCCTTAGTCCAACAGGACTCCCCAAAGGACATGGTAGAAGTCCAAAAAACACATGTTGACTGGATGGGCAAACTCCCATGACCCCTGCAACAGACCTGCATGGGTCAAGAGCTGGTCCACTATTCCACAGCCAGGACAGAATCAGCATTGCTCCTCCTGGTTCTGAGGTTCAATTTTTGTGAGAAGCAGCCGAGCAGGAACCGCACAATGCTCCCTTGCTCGTGAAGGACAGCAGACATCCACTTACAGAATAGGACAGCTGTATATTAATGGTGGTTTTGTCATTGAGGTTGGTGAATAGGTTTTGAAGAGAGTGCCCGCGCAAAAACACTACTGTGTCTGTAAATATATTAATATTGTTATATGTGCCCTGTTCTGGGCTTTCCTTTCCAAGACTGTGTGCATGCAAACATGCAGTAAGTAAGCCTGATATCGCTTGTTTGTTATATTTCATCAAATTGTTGTTAGTCTGCACGGCAATTTAGTCCAATATATTGCGTTCTCGTTCGTTGTTTTATGGTGAGTGTAGTATTCCCCAAAAACGTTTATTACTACCTCTATTCTGTCCCTGTATGTTTTAATATAAAACTACCGCTGTATGGTGGTTTTGCCTTCAAGCCGTAAGTGCCTAATTTAGGCAATTATTAGTTCCTTGTTCTCTGCAAAATGTAGGCAATATTTAAATCTGTGTAAGATTGCCAATATTTATGGATGCATAGAGTGCAGAATCTGGTGTTTGCTAGTTAGTTCATGCCATTCTGTAGCTTAGTTATCTACAATAACACTATGCTGAAATGTAAAGTATATGTTGCAATGTAGACCTGTAAAATAAAACAACCTGTTACAATATTTATATATAGATTTTACTAATTATTTTCATTCATATCTGTTCCAGTGTGTTCCAGTATTTTCTACTGTCAATAAACCTCTCAAAGGAACATGCTGTCTGGAGTGCATTCTAATCAATGCCCCCTGGTGGCCACACCTTTTATGAACCAGTAGAATTATACAGTCCTTTCCATTCAACCACATTTTACTTATTGCAAACTGTTTAATCTAGTTTACCATGTATCCAAACCCCTTATTGAATTTACCTGTCATTTTACAACTAAATATCTGCTGAGCCACCCCATTTACCACTATCTTACGTCATCTCTTTAGCCCTGCATTATTTGGATACTTTTTATGAGAGTTCACCTGGGTTCCACCAGCAGCTAGGACAGTGAGTCCAAACAGCATGGCTGTGATGCAAATCAACAGTTCCAGCACCAGGAAAATCACCAGCGTCCCCAGGATCCCGTCAATCAACAGCTAGCCAGAGAAACCCAATAGCATATAAGGTGAGAAAACAGGAAGAGTATGTATAATGAAACAAAGTTTTTCCTACTGTGACACTGATAACATAAACAAATAGAAGTGTAAAACACTCAGAATATCTTGTCTATCACTTAAAGACATATGTGTCAACTCCATGCACTCTACAAGACAAGACTGCATAGCCTATCTGACCTAAGTATTAGTTGTAACAGTATTCAATCACTTACTTTACACTTTTGCTCGATCAGCCCGGTGCATTTCCTGAAACAATGTTGCTGCAGTGGACAGTAAAGACAAAGAAACATGGTCTTTTTTTTCCACAACATGTAGTGTTAACTATGAATTCATGTGATTCTAGGAAGGGATCAGTGATTGCTCTGTGGATTGCCTCATCTACTGATTGACACATGGCCATGAATTCAGCTATATGTATTTATTCATTGTAGTTTATATTAGTTCGGCAGCTCATTCATTCACGTCCAATCATGCAAGTTTACACAGCGGCCATCATATCATATCTTCATGCTGCTGCAGCTCCCTCTATCACACTACCCACCTCCTTATGGGCAACTTGTTTCCCTTGATTTAATTGAGGAATTAATGCTCATGGATGCGTTTGTTCAGGGTAGATTAGTCCTCCAAGCAGAGTCCTCTGATTCTTCTGGAGAGTGGATTCCTTCATACAAGTGTCTCTGACTGAGCTGCATGAATGAGTTTCTCAGTGGTGAAGTAGCAGAGCGTTTCTGGTGTTATTGGATCACTTCTTAATTCCTTCACTGTCAAACGTTACCAAAATGGAGCATTTCGAATCAGCTGACTGATCCTGAGCATGTCTTTGTTAATTAGAGTGTTCCAAATCAGCACTAAGTGACACAAGCAACAGCAGGGGAAAGATAAGAAATGGCAGAGCAGCGGCTGCTGTGGGGACCATAGATTGTCTGGTAGGGACTCATTAGTGGACTCTATTGCCCTGGTTTTCATCTCTCAGGCTACATACAGGCCATACCTCATTATATATTCTATAGAAAGCTGAAGGAATGAGACGTGAAACCCAGACATGACTAAGCATTTTTGCACTTCTTGTTACTCTGTCTCAAAGTCAATGGGTTTTGTGAATACTTTTTGGTTAGATGCCTGAATTAAGTTAACACAAGGTTAAGACTCCGCGAATCGCCACCTTAACGTGGTGGAGGAGTTTGAGTGGCTCAGTGATCCTGGGAACTATGTTGTCCGGGGCATTAGCCCCTGGTAGGGTCTCCCAAGGCAAACAGGTCTCAGGGGAGAGCCCAGACTAAGAGCGGTTCAAAACGACCCCAATGAAAAGCAGCCCACAGACTTCAGTCACCTCGCCCGGACCAGGGAAACCGGGGCACCCTCCCGGAGCCAGACCCAGGAGGGGAGCTCGTCGGCGAGCATCTGGTGGCCGGGCCTTCGCCCATGGGGCCCGGTCGGGCTCAGCCCGAATAAACAGCATGGAGCAGCCACCCTGTGGACCCACTACCCGCAGGGATAAGCATCGGGGTCGGGTGCAATGCAGACCGGGCGGCGGGTCAGGCGGGAGGCCTGGGCGAGCCGATCGCCGGCAGCATAGACTAGCTCTAGGGACGTGGAACGTCACCTCGCTAGCGGGGAAAGAGCCAGAGCTGGTGCAGGAGGTGGAGCGGTACCACCTAGATATAGTTGGACTCACCTCCACACACAGCATTGGCTCTGGAACCAAGCTCCTGGAGAGGGGTTGGACTTTGTCCTTTTCCGGAGTTGCCCA